CTGTCTGCTAAGGTTGGTATTTGTCTATTGGAAATTCTACTGAGTTCCACGGGAGCTGATTCAGAAAACTGAGGTTGCCTGTTCTCTTCTCCTTCCCCTCCTCCAAAATCCATACCCACACATCCCTCACTCAGTCAGCCTTTAAGCATTTCCTGAGATCCCGTGGTATTCAGGGGTCCCGAGCAGTGTCTTCCAGCTCCCCATTCCTTATGTGTTCATAATCAAACTTGATGGATGCCAACGTATGTCTAGCATCTCCTCTGTCTCCAGAAGTGTGCTAAGTACATTGACACGCCATCTTTCAGTCTCCACAGAAACTGAGCAAGCTGTGGCTCAAGGAGGTTAAGTAACCCTACCACATTTTCTGACTCCTTCCAATGCATCTCTGCCTAGTAAATGTTTACTGAGATTAATTCCCACCTCCAGGCCTTGTTCTTCCCCATCTCCTCCACCTGCCGTATCATCCTCGTTCTTCAAGGCCCAGCCACATGTCCCCTGGTCATGAAGCCTTCCCAGATCACTCCATGCCTCAATCACGCTTCCCTCAGTGGGTTCCCACTTCAGGGTGGGCTCCACCCAACTCCACTCTTTCTCATGGGAGCAAGTGTGTCTCTCAACAAAATTTTGAGATCTTAAATGGCCGCAGCCATGTCTCATGCTCCTTTGAACCACAGTTGTTTACATGCTTTAAATGATCGTAACTATTTAAATACTTTTGAATAATAGTAGTGTTCAAATACTCGCTATTTCCTTATTATAGAACTTAAAACAACCTCTGCTCTCAGAAGCTATAATGTGACAGGGAAGCAAAACAACCCAGTGGGGGGAAAGAAAGCCTTGGAAACTGACAAAGCCCGTTAAACAATTCTAAATACATCTGTGTGAGTCAAAATCAACTGTCAGGTTACAACAGTACACAAAATGAGAATTCAGTTGGGAAAAGGAAGTCTGGCCTGAAGCGCTGAGGGATGGCTTTGCAGGATTTACGGAGGAAACCAGGAGGTACTTTGCAACAGAGAACCTCAGAGTACATCTGGAAAGCTATCGGCCAGGGTGACCACAAATGAGAATTATTAATAGTTGTGCCTCTGGAGGAATCAAATGGCCCAATGGGAGTTGGGATGGCAGTAGCAAATGATTAGGAGGGAACACAGTCTTGGGCCATGGGAAGATGAGGGGAGAGGAGGATTAGGAAGGAGAACAAGAAACCTTATTTGCTAGCAAGGAGGATCCAGGAGCTCAGCCTAAAAGCAATGCTGAGTATGACTTTGTGTATGCATATGTCATCCTATCAGAGAAAAATGAAAGCAATAATATTCATTGTAGATCAGAGACTCGTGGACATTTGGATTTGACCAGAACTAAGCCCCTAAGAAAATTAGCAAAGAAAGAGTAAACATAACTCCGAGCTGAACAGTAGTGGGATCTCGCCTGTGAATAGCCACTGCACTCCAGCCTGGGCAACACAGCCAGGCCTCCTCCCTTTAAAAAAGAACAACAAAAAAAAAGAGGATACCTGGGGCCCTGGGTGGAGAACTGGAGCACAGAGCAGGAGGCCGACTTTGCTAGGTTAAACTGCATGGCTGAGTCATATGATAGGATTTTGCCACACCACCGGAACCCTGACTTTCAGGGTTGCATATTCTGACCTTTACGATAAATAGAAGGTTGTTCTCTGAAAGGCATGGAGTGTTCTAGTGGATTCTTCTGCAGTCACATAACCACAAGCCCAGCTCTGGGAGGAAGGAGAGGCAGCAAGGCAGAGGGAGGGTCCTGGGAGTCTCAGGAGCTCACTCATTATTCTAAGGCCACAGTCTTCGAACGAGGGATGTGTGCCCCCTAAAGGTACGTGAAGACTTTTCGAAGGGTTCATAGGCAAAACAATTTTAAGGGAACCAATTTCCAGAACCTCAGTGTCCATACCTACTCTTTCCTAAAACCAATGTCCTTGAGAACACGTCTGTGATGGAAACACGGTGTATCTTTCTCATCTCCGCCTTCACAGTTGCTCTCCTCCCACATTTGAAAAGAAATGCATCGGTTTTTTGTTTGTGTGTTTGTTTTTGTTTTAAGACAGAGTCTTGCTCTGTTGCCCTGAGTAGAGCGCCGTGGCATCAGCTTAGCTCACAGCAACCTCAAACTCCTGGATCCAAGCAATCCTCCTGCCTCAGCCTCATGAGTAGCTGGGACTACTGGCACACACCACGCCTGGCTAATTTTTTTCTATTTTTAGTCACTCAGCTAACCTTTTCTAAACTTTTTCTATTTTTAGTAGAGACAGGGTCTCGTTCTTACTCAGGCTGGTCTCAAACTCTCCTGACCTCAAGTGATCCTCCCGCCTGGGCCTCCCAGAGTGCTAGGATTACAGGCGTGAGCCACTACACCTGGCCAGAAATGCATGTTTCTAACCCATCCTGAATCTTACAAGAAGACATTTCAACAGCACACGCAAACTTCCAGGATATCACACAAAGATGTAATTTGATAAACAGGTGTTGAAAAGTAAATGACTTTAATAATTGCCTATAAAATCCTTTAAATCAGATGGAAATCTTCCAACAAAATGGAGGGAAAATCTTTTCAAATTAACAGATGATAGAGTATTAAAAATAAGTTTTGATGACACATCACTGTGTAACTCTTGGCATTAACTAAGAAGGAGTTCAATAAATTGAATGGCATTACCATGACAGAAATCCTTATATCCCCATCTATTTATTTACATTAGCAAAGTTTCTCAAAACTTAATATTTCATATACAAAATATTTGCCAGGGATCACAGCGTGAATGGCCAAGATACTGAAATAGATCCTGTAAGCTGGACAGAGCCTCCTAAAATTGTCCCTTACCGTCAGGTATAGAGTATCCTTTTTCTCTGGACAAGTTCACATGGATTCTTTTTGTGTTTCCTCAGGAACACTGACACAAAGATCCACACCCAGGCAGGAAGCTCAGGGAAGAGGCACTCACTGTCAGACTTCCGGGACCAAACCTTGACTTGGCTGATGAGAAATCAGAGGCCCAAGGCCAGGCCCAGTGGCTCATGCCTGTAATCCTAGCACTCTGGGAGGCCGATGTGGGAGGATCGTTTGAGCTCAGGAGTTCGAGACCAGCCTGAGCAACAGCGAGACCCTGTCTCTACTAAAAATAGAAAGAAATTGGCTGGACAACTAAAAATATATAGAAAAAATTAGCCGGGCATGGTGGCGTATGCCTGTAGTCCCAGTTACTTGGGAGGCTGAGGCAGAATGATCGCTTAGAGCCCAGGAGTTTGAGGTTGCTGTGAGCTAGGTTGATGCCACAGCACTCTAGCCTGGGCAACAGAGCGAGACTCTGTCTCAAAAAAAAAAAAGTAAAAAGTAGAAATCAGAGGCCCAGAGAGAAGATAACTGCCCAAGGTAACAGAGCTAACAGGCAACAGAGCTGGAAGCAGAAAGCCAGTCTCCATCCTGTCAGTCCAGTGCTCTTTCTGCCATACACTGTACCTGTTACAACAGGTGAGAATAAAGGTGAGGCTGTTCTTCTACATTCTTCTGCACAAGGACACCACATTTCCTCTTTGTCCTCAACGTAAACCTGTTTGACATGGATGAAGAAGTTGGTGAGGTTTTCCTACTGATTTTCAGGATGTAGCCCAGACATTCAAAGAGAAAGTTGGGGGGGCAGTGGAGCAGAAGACAGTGGAATGTGTTGGGAGGAAGGAGAGGACTCTGGGCATTTCCAGTCATCCCATGGATTAATATCTTGCAGAACAATCAAACATGCACTAAAACACCATTTCCAAGCTGATGATCTCCCAGGTGACATTCAACTCAATGAATTTGCAGAGGACAAGGTGGTTATTCTATAGAGGATGGGATGCTCTAAAGCATGTTTAAATACAAGACAGAGTGAATACTGATACATGCTACCACACGGATGAACCTTGATAACATTAAGCTAAGTGAAAGAAGCCAGATGCAGGCCAGGCACGGTGGCTCACGCCTGTAATCCTAGCACTCTGGGAGGCCGAGGCGGAAAGATCACTTGAGGTCAGGAGTTCAAGACCAGCCTGAGCAAGAGCAAGACCCCATCTCTACTAAAAATAGAAAAAATTATCTGGGCGTGGTAGTATATGCCTGTAGTCCCAGCCACTCAGGAGGCTGAGACGGGAGGATTGCTTGAGCCCAGGACTTTCAGGTTGCTGTGAGCTAGGCTGACGCCACGGCACTCTAGCCCAGGTGACAGAGCAAGACTCTGTCTCAAAAAAAGAAAAAAAAAGAAGCCAGATGCAAAAGGCCATATACTGTATAAATCCATTCATATGAAATGTCCAGAATGGGAAAATCCATAGAGACAGAAAACACATTAATGGTTGCCAGATGCTGGGGGAAGGGGAATGGGGAGTGACTACTAAGGGATATGGAGTTTTATTCTGGGGGTGATGAAAATGTTCTTGAACAAAATAGTGGAAAAAGTTGCACAATCTTGTGAATATACTAACAACCACTGAACTGTATACTTTAAACTGGTGAATTTTATGGTATGTGAATCATATCTTGATTTTTTTAAAAAAAACAGAATGAAATAAGTGTCCAATAGTGTTATAAACACATCGTATAGATAGAGAGGCACATGAGATCAGGCAAGAGGCCTCACATTTATTGATTACCTGCCACGTCCTAGGCATTCAGATAGTTTATCTTCATTTTTCAGTTCAGGCCATACAGCAGCCCTGAGAAGCAGGCATATTTTCTTCATTTCACAGATGAGGAAACTAAGGCTCATAGATACAGCTTATCCAAAAATATACAGCTAGTTAGTACCACAGTCAGAATTAAGACTCAGGTCTGTTTGGCTTCACAGCCTGTGTGCTTTCCACTATGGCACCATCCTTCCCATTAGCATCTTGTGAAAGGAGCCTCATACTTGCTGAGTGTTCTCCCTCATCGTACCTTGCACAGGAATGGACATCCTCTAGTAACACTGCTTGAGTGATTATCAATTGTCACCTCTGCAGATGACACCCGGAGAATTAGCCCTCACCAGCGGCAACCACACCCCAGTTACCAAGTTCATCTTGCTGGGATTCTCCAATTATCCAGACCTCCAAGAGCTTCTCTTTGGAGGCTTCCTGCTCATCTATGCCATCACAGTGGTGGGCAACCTGGGAATGATAGCACTCATTTTCCTAGACACCCGTCTCCATAGCCCCATGTATTTCTTCCTCAGTGTCCTCTCCTTCCTTGACGTTTGTTACTCTTCCGTGATCACACCCAAGCTCTTGCTCAACCTTCTGGCCTCTGACAAGTCCATCTCTTTCAACGGCTGTGTGGTCCAGATGACCTTCTTTGTAATGCATGCGACAGCTGAGAGCTTTCTGCTGGCCTCCATGGCCTATGACCGCTTCATGGCCATCTGCCAACCCCTCCATTATGGTTCTATCATGACCAAGGGGACCTGTCTCCAGCTGGTGGCTGTTTCCTATGCCTTCGGTGGAGCCAACACTGCTATCGAGACTGGGAATGTCTTTGCCCTGCCTTTCTGTGGACCCAACAAGATAACACACTACTTCTGTGACATACAACCCCTTCTCCAACTGGCCTGTGCCAACACAGCCACCGCAGGAGTGGTCCTCTACGTCTTCTCTGCTCTGGTCACCCTCCTGCCTGCTGCAGTCATCCTCACCTCTTACAGCTTGGTCTTGGTGGCCATCGGGAAGATGCGCTCAGCAGCTGGGCAGAAGAAAGCCCTCTCCACATGCGCCTCCCACTTCCTGGCCATTGCTATTTTCTATGGCACTGTAGTTTTCACCTATGTCCAACCCCATAGATCCACTAACAATACCAATAGCCAACTAGTGTCCATCTTCTACACCATCATAATTCCCATGCTCAACCCCTTCATCTATAGCCTCCGCAACAAGGAAGTGAAGGGTGCCCTGAAGAGGAAGCTCCAGATCAACATCTTTCCCTGCTGAGCCCCCTAAGGTTGTTTGTTGCAAAGAGAAAGACATAGCATCTTCCAAATCACATTATGAATGGACCAAACCAAGAGCAGCCCTGGTTTTGATGGAGGTAGAAGAAGTTAAGGAGAAACAGCAAATATACTTTGTACAGAGCATTACAGTTAACAAAGCATCTTCTTATTCACTATAATATTGAATTCTCACCACCACATTGTGAGACAGCCATTGTCACAATGATCCCATTTTACAAATGAAGGAAACGTGACTCAGAAAAAATCAGTCCATTACCTAAAGTCATACAGTTAGTGAGAGAATGAGTATTCGACATCAGGGCTTCCACATAGAGACCAGAGATATTTCAAATACACCACAGCCACAACTTAAGTATCTATTGGCAGCTCATCTTAACTTCCAAGAAACATGAGACAAGGCACAACACAATCATTTCAGTTTTGCCACTGATTTAGTGAACTGAGAGTGGGCAATAAGTGGCTCAGATCTTTTTTCCTGTTACAAAAAGAAAGAGAACCAGGATAGAGATGTCCTTATTTCTTATTGCAGCTGCAGTGTGCTGAGCTGTCCCAGCATAACATCAGGATCCAGAGAGAGCTTTCCTTGTACATCTGTCTCCTAGCCAGATGTATGTGCATGTCTCATAATTCTCAAGTGTGTGTGTGTGTGTGTGTGTGTGTGTGTGTGTGTGTGCGTGTGTAATAGGGCAGTTACAGCACTATTTTCGATACTATGCTTTGAGAGACTGATTCAAATTTTTTTATATTTAGCCTGAGTATCTTTAAATATACATGTTATATGGTGAGCATATATGTTTTAGAGAATCACATTAATGAAGAAGCTGAACTTGAAGACTTAATTCAAGGTTGAACATTGGATTGGAAAGCATGCTCTTAAACTAAGGCAAAGTCCTAATCTGAAGTAAATTGGCTTCAGCCTGTGATTTTTGGATTATTCAAAAGCTTTTTCTCCAGATAAATCTTAAGAAAATTATTCTAAATACAGGAAATCTTGCTATACAAGCAAGTCTATCACAGTATCGTGTGTGAAAACAAAAAATTGAAAACAATCTAAACGTTCAAAAGAGAAAAGGGATTCGATGATTCATCCCCTGAATGTATTATGATGCAACCATTAAATATTATGCTTGTAGGCCAGGCGTAGTAGCTCACGCCTGTAATCCCAACACTTTGGGAGGCTGAGGCAGGAGTATCGCTTGAGGCCAGGAGTTCAAGGCTGCAGGGAGCTATGATCAGGCCACTGCACTCTAGCCTGGGAGACAAAGTAAGACCCCATCTCTAAAAAAAAATTTATTTTAATTATGCTCATGAAGACTACGTAATAATATGAAAAACAACAGGTTAAAACATCTAGAGTGCAATCACAACACTGTAACAAAAATGAGTAGCGGAAAAACACACAAAAATGTAAACGAATGTTGTGTTAGAGGGATAGCACAAAGGGAAAAAATGTTTTCCTAGTTTTCTCAAAAATTTTCCAAAATTTTTAAATAAGAGTGTTTGATTTTGATACTTTATTCTAAAAAGGAATAATTTTTA